CCCCCAGGGCTCTGTCCTGGGGGACCCCGCTTGTCACTGGCCACCATCCCAATGATTCCCCACTAATGGTTACCCTCTGCTTTCGGTCAGTCAACCATCCCCTAATCCACGGGACAGTGCTTTGGTGTATCCCAAAACTCCTCAGTTTCTCCACCAGGATATCATGGGGCACTTTGTCAAAGGCCTTGCTGAAATCCAGGTATACCACATCCACTGCATCCTCTCTGTCTAGTCATCTCGAAACCTTGTCATAGAATTCCACAAGGTTTGTCTGGCAGGACCTGTTTTTGCCCCTTAAGGGGCAGGTTGTGCTTGCCCCTTAAGGGGATTACAAAAGCCAGCTCTCAGCCAGTTTGCATGATCTTGGGACAAGCTGCAGCAAGCTAGAAATGGCTTGCAATCATGTCTTTCGGTGGTGGGGTCAATTTTCCTACTGGGAGGAACTAGGGGGAAGATGGAGGGAGGGAGCAAAATACCCACCATGAGCTCAATCACCAGCTCATCATTGGTGCTTCCCATGTTCAGCCCAACCATTATGGTAAACTGCCGCTGTTTACTATTCCACTCCCGTTTGCCTCTAACCACATGTATTTGTTGACTTTTAACTCAGGAAAACACCTCATACATCTAATGAAATGGATTGTAATCCACAAAAACTTATGCCACTATGCATTTGTTAATACTTTATGGTGCCACAGGACTCTTGGTATTTATAGACACACACCCCTGTTCCACCCAGTCCTTGTGGTTTGGCATCAAAACTTGAAAAAGTATAACTCCATGCAAATCAAGCCAGACAGAAATACAAGCCCATGCAAACACACACACCCTCACATACGGGTGCATTGCCCCATGTGCACTTTTGCAAACAACTGCACCCTCTGCAGGGATCTACCCATCCACACTTGCACTTATCCAGTTGTACAACTCACGGACATCACACATGCTAGGAGAGTCTCACTGCGCACCTGTTACTTGCTGCACATAGCACTTTTTTCCTGGCTGCTCCCCATCTCCTTTCCACACCTACCTTTGGCCCCAACAGCCCTGGTTCATTGGCCAGGATGGCCTCCATCTCCCGCACAGCATTCCTCAGGAAAGCACGCCGGCCGCGATGCAGCTGCCCACTGTGAAGACACCAACCAAAGGGTTCAGACAGGAAGATGCCAAGTTCCCCGTGGAATGTGTTGCTTTGCTGGGCCTCACACATGATTTTTCCAGCCATCAGATCAACGTAAATGAAAGTAAGAACACACAAACTTTTCAAGTGACAAAGAGCCGCTCCTCATCTTTTGATGAAGCCTTCTGTGCAGGGTGGAAAATTCACCCACTCCCTCAGTCACTGGCAGAAGCACCAAGTGACACAGCATCAAAAGAGTTCACCCGATCAGTTCTGTAAGGAATGCATTTTAGGGAGGGAGGAAGGGAGGGAGGGAGAATAATGCCAGAAGCTGCAATTAGAATGGAGACAGGGTACTCAAGAGGTGCTAGATAGTAAGGCAAAGCCACCACCTCTTAGCACAATAACTAGACCAATCTAGAACATTATTGATTGAATTCACAGATGCTGGATCATGTCCTTTGAAATGGGGAAAAAGGTAGCTGTGGCTCCTTGTAGCACTCCTCCTATTCTCCTGTTTTGGTGGCTTTGTTGTACACGAGAATATGTATTGTCTACCAGATGAATGATGAACAAGTGGTTATTGAGTTTCAATAGATAATAGGGGAAATTTTCCCAGGGTTTTTTGAAGCTAAGCCATGGTTTTATGGCCTTCAACTTGTTAAAAAGAGCACCAGGAAATCATTGCCTTGAAGCTGCTTTCTCCAAGTATATTCCTTAGATAAGAGTTGCTTTTACTATGAGAATGAAACTGTTTACTGGAGCAGCTTCAGCCCCACTCCCAACACCCAGGAAGGGAACCTGTGTGTTGTGACAGTCTGTGGAACAGTGGGAGAGAGGTACTTGATAAAATCTGTGGCAAGAATCACTGTCCTTGGTTCTCGGTTCAGGGAGAGAAATTAATGTGTCACTTGTCCAGACAACTTTGGAGGCCCACAAGCATCCCATGGCTTACTCAGGCAACAAGATGGGCACAAGCTCTCTTTTGCTGGTTTACATTTGACACCAATATTTCACCACTGTATTCAATAAACAGCATATCATCCTTGAAACAGGTGCTTTTGTTTCTTCCTAACCATTCTCAAGCCTAAAGTGAAGTGCCTTGATTGCACCAAGTGCAAGATCAAGTGCAAGACCAGACTAAAGGCCTCTCTAATCTACCATTCTGTTTTCAAAAATAGCAGCCACCAGGAGACCACCATCCCGGGCACAAACAGCCTTCCCTCAATACTCACCTCTCACATAGGAGCACGGGAAGAACCCTGCTGGATCAGACCAAAGGCCCTTCTAGTCCAGCATTGCAAATCTCCAATGGGAAGTCCACAGAGCACAAGGACAGTCGCACTCCTCCTTGGGCTCCCAGCAGCTGGAATTCAGAGGCATCCTGCCTCTGATACTGGAGGTAATATATACCCAACATATCCATCCTTCATCCTCGCAAGCTAGGCAAGTCATGAGGCAGGTGGAGGAGTGATTGAATGGCAAGAGCTCAGAGAGAATGAATGGGTAGGAGATGCCCAGAAGGAACAGGGTTGACCTGTCTTTATCCCTCTTCAACACAAGATTGGCAAGGAAATCCTATACATGCGTAATCAAAGCATGACTCACTTATTTCAATAGGGCTTACTCTCAAGAAAGAGTGTATAAGACTTCACCCTTCCAGGATGATACCAGATGAACAGGACAAGAGCAAGCAACCACAGTGGTAAGAATTCCATGGGGCAATACACTGAAGGAATGGGAAGATGAGGATGTCAGTCAAGCAGGGCTAGGAAACACATGCCAGAAACAAAAGGCTGCCCTGAAGCTGGGGAGGGAACGTTTTGCAGGCACATTCCTGCTGCAGGGAAAGCAGAGCAATGAGACATGCAGAAAGAAAGGAACTGGGGGAGAGAAGACGCATTCCTACCTCTGTGTTAGAGCATGCTCTTTACAGTCTTTGATGTCAGCCACACGCTTCCCATAGCTGCAGGGGGAGAGAGGAAGAGTGAGGTCACAGTCCAGCCCCTCCATAACATTATCATGTCTTATGTTGCATCTGCCCAGCGAGGCAGGGAGAGGTTGAAAGAAAGAATTGCTTCTAATGGTCAGTGTAACCTGGGAAGCCCTTCACTGAAGAATGCACACACCAGGGAATCGCAGCCTCTTGTCATGCTTTTAGGGAGAAGTCACACCTTGGAGTTAAATTCTGTGTTTTGCATACAGAGGGACCCAAGCTGAATCCCTGGCATATCCTGGCCAAAAGGCTATCAGGAAGAAGGGCTGGAAAGACCTTGGTTTGGATCCTTGGAGACCTGCTGCCAGTCCAAGTCAGCAACACTGGGCTAGGCCAGCTTGCTCTTACTGATGCTCTCCAGATGCCTTGGCCTACCACCATCTTCAGGCAGCAGGTGTGATGAGCATAGCAGTCCAACACAACTGGAAGGTACCAAGTTGGGGAAGGCTGCTCCAGATGGACCCCATGGTCCAACTCAATTGTGTGTATCCATAGGGTGAACACTCATGCTACAGAAAGTCAAAGGAAGAAGAAGAAAAGGAAGAGAAAATGGTGATGGATGGCTCCATAAAGGAAGCCATGGACCTTGAACTTAGAAGAGCTGAGCAGGACTGTCACAGATAGAACATTTTGGAGGGCTTTCAATCATACGGTCTCCATATGTCAGAGATATCTTGATGGCAATTTACAACAAAGAGTGACCAGGCACAAACAAGTACAAAACTCTTCCACATTTTCTACTGATGTAGAACAAGCAACCTCTGCACAGTGGGCCTTTCCTTCACCCATGAACCTGCCACAACTCGCCTCTTCTGCACAAAGGAACCCTCAACATTTCTGTCATGTAATCTGCTCTCTCTAACAACATTCCTTCCCCATTGGATGAATGGGGTAGGGTTGAGATATGGCCATCTAATCCATGTGGCAGCACTCCCGTATGGGTCCAACTCTCCCCTGCATGTCACTTACCCTTTGACACTGCTGAAGGCCTCCTCCGTCACCTTGTGAATAAGAAGCACTTCATCCCGTATCAGAGTGATGTAGAGTGAACTACGGAGAGCTGCCCGCCACAGATCCAGGCAGGTTGGTGTAGAGCCCAAGCAGCTGTGGCACAGCAAGAAACCAACTGCAGGAAGAGAAGGTGGTCAATGGCAGGGGCACAGAATTAAGGAGCTGCTGACCACCTCCCTTGCTTTGCACAGCAGTGAGTCCCTCCCTGCTCCCAGGAGCCAGAGGAATCATCCAAAGGCAGCACACACCACAGCCTTCCCTTGCAATGGATTTGGTAACCCTGGTACCATATTTGGGAAAGGGAGGGGGGCTAGTACATGGTGCATACATACCTCTCTGCCTATGTCCCCTGAGCCCATGAAAATGGCCCACAAGTCCAACCGCTTAGGCAGAAGAAAAGCAGGATGCTTTGGAGAGAACGTCTTGCTGACTGAGCAAAGACTCCAAGATCTGCAGTTAGCCTGGACTCTGCCCAGCCTAGCAGCACAGTAAGTAACAAGGCAGTGACTTACTCACAATCCAACGCTCAAGAACTTCCAGGGAAAGGTATTCACAGGCCATCTGGAATGGAGGGAAAAAAGAATGGCTTTCTTTTCTGCCTCCCTAGAGCCAAACCATTAATTTCCTTCCCTTTGCCACACATGCGGCTTCTTCTTGGGCCTATACAAGACTGCATTGCAAGCTGGGAAACACGCAACTCCCTTGCTCAGCACTTCACACACAGGAGGTGTTGGTGTGATGTTTCCAAAGACATTGCTCTGATCCATAATGCAGAGCCTACAGTTTTATAATCACTCAACACTTTTGGACAAGGCATTTATCATCTCCCTTCCTCATACAGAGAATTCTTTGGGGGCCCAGTCATAAATGTCTTTCATTTGAAATTTCTTCCTCTACTTTCCCATCACTCCTTCCATGAAAAATCAATTAAGGAAAAAAGACAGAATTGCTGCACAATACTTTCTAAGTGGTAGCCCTAGCAGCCCTGCATCTGGAACTCTCTCTCTCTCTCTTACAAACACACACTCACTCACCGTGTCTGAACTGGCAGGAGCTAGCATGCCTGCCGGGTTGCTGATCAAACTGAAGAGCTGGTCACTTCGCCACTGATCAGCTGATTGGTTTCGACGAGCAAAGAGGAAGTGCAGCGAAAGAAGTGCACTGCTCACGGCCTGGTAAGAGAGGTCTATGTTAGCAGCTCAAAAGGAAGTGACAATAAACAGAGAGAAAGGGTGGGAAAGATTGCATGTTGCCTTGAGAAATGTATGTTCCCAAGCCTCATTTGTGGGGGTAATCCAAATGAATGGGCAGTGGCACAGTGGCAAAATCTGAAATGCAGATTCTCATCACAAGAGCCCCCAAATTCAAATTATCAAAAGACTATATGATTTTTTACTTGACAGGAAAATGGAAGGGGAACAGGTTAAGGAAACTATGATAACATGGGCACAAAACTTTGGATTTAATGTTGAACTAGAAAAGTGGCAAAAACTATGGGAAAGAAACATTAAGATAACATTAGCAACTTCGTATAAAGAAAATTTATATAAAATGTTCTATAGATGGTATTTGTCACCAAGTCAATTAGCTAAGATGTTTCCAAATATGTCAAATAGATGTTGGAAATGTAAACATAAAGTGGGTACTTTTTATCATATGTGGTGGTCTTGTGATAAGGCGAAAAAATATTGGATTAAAATACATAGATGGAGGAAATATTACAAAAACCCTTTGCTTTTAAACCCGAAGTTTTCTTGTTAGGCATCATACCAGAAGACGTTAACAGACAGGAAATGTATCTGATGCTGCACCTAATCAGAGCAGCGAGGACTGCATTTGCTCAATATTGGAAAAGTGAGGAGCTGCCCACCGATGGATTGATTGTAAGAAAGATCTTGGAATGCGCAGAAATGGATAGATTGACTTTATCATTGAAGGAGAAAGAGGATACTGGCTTCTATCGAACTTGGGATTCTTTCTATAATTGGCTGGAGAAACGGGACTTGGCATAAATTTAGAGATGTTTTTAAATTATTATAAATTGATTTGAATTTGACTTTAGAATGTTAAAAAAATATGTAGTAGGAGGTTGACCCAGTAAATCCGAGGTATGTGATGTTTGATGTTTTTAGTGTTAGTTTAAATTTTTAATTAAAAATTTATAAAAAAAAAAAAAAACAAGAGCCCCCAAATTCAAGCTCCAGTCCCAAAATGCCTGTGTTGATCCAGATCAATTAATCAGTTCTAGCACTTTTCTTCTCTACCAGCAGCAGCTCTTTTGTGAAATGGACCTGTCTTCATTGCCCATTCAAAACCAAGCCAGCCCCAAATAGTTTGCATTACAGGAATAGCTTTTGAGAAAGAACACATTTTGCCAGCTTCTAGGTCCAGACCAAGATCAACCCCATGGAGGAGCCATGTTGCTAAAAAAATATCCAGGCCTATAAAATAGGGCCACCTGGCTATGGCATGCTGTGCACAGTGATCCAATGGAATGTGCAAGCTTGACACACTTCCACAACTGCATCCATGAAGAAACTGCATTTCTTCCAAGGGATCTTCCAGCAGGAGCTGTGCTCACAATCTGTCATACCAGAAGATGATTCACCACATGAAATGGCTTGCGGAGCCACATCTCACCTTGGTATGTGGTCCAAACTCTTCCATCAGCTTGCGCAAGGGATGCTCATACTCCAGGATCATCTGTCCCAGCCGAGGGAAACTGGCATCACTGTACATGGGGAAGCAACCAATCAGGGGTGATTGCTAGCAGCAGCTTCCACCCTCCTTCCTGGACCATGTGCACCCAGTTCACTGCAAAACCATTGCCAGAAGCCCCCACAGCTCCAGAGAACATTATGCAGATTTATTTTTCTTAGCACAGAGGAGGCACTAGCACAGATCTGAAATTAGCAGTACAATTGTTTGTTCTCCTCAAAAGAATGGGAGGTTAGCCTAAGTAGGAAAGGGACAGCCATGTTCTTGGGAATCAAGCTAGCCAGGAAGATCAGCATTTCATGCTATTATCTTGGTTTTCTTCTTCGGCACTGTAGGGGTGCTAGAGCTAAGAACTGGGGGAGGGGGAACAATTTGCAAAATGGCTGGGGAATGCTATGGCAGAGCAAGTACCCTGTAAGGCTGGTGTTTGCCAAGGCTTCCCCCGTGACCCACACACAGACTCCTTTAGGATTCCATAATTGCTGTGGGTGGACCAGGGCATCATAGAAAGCTCAGGGTCTAGGAAATTAGCAAAAGTAAGATAAACATACTGGTTTCATAAAAGTTCCCAAACTGGTAAAGATCTGGGCAAAACGGAATGGGTCAATCAGAGCAATTCAGGACACAGGCACCTACAACATTCATACAGCTACGTTCTGCATATTACTCCAAAGAAACACAAGTTCACTACCTAGGGAAGTGTGCTAGAAATTGCGTTCTCCTGGTCCCCAAACACTGCAGCGTATCGGTATTTCCTTTAAACAAAAGAGCAATTGGGGACGGGGGTATTTATTTACATTATTCATTCACTGCTCCTCAGTCAAAGCACTCAGAGTGCCTTACAAAGCAACAACCACAAAAACACACAGAACAAAACATAACATTTAAATTTGGTTCCCCCACAACAACCAAGTAACAATTGAATATCTAGAAAAGCCAATGATGATAGAAACAGATATGAAAACAATGAGTTTTAAGTTACAGAAAAGAAAGCAGATTGATTGATTGATTGATTGATGAATTAATTATGTATTGGCCCAAACTGTGCCCCCAGAGCATATAATGAAAACTTTTAAAATATCACCAAAATCTAATTAAGAACAGGAAAGACTATTAAAAACAAGGTGTGGAGACCATCCATTTAAAATAACCAAGGGTTTGACAATCCACCTAAAATGGAGGAAAGGGGCCACATAACTGTCTTGGGCAGAGAGCTCCAAAGCAGGGTGCTGCCACAGAACAGGCCCTTGTGCCCATCAACCTAATCTTTTTTCCATAGTGGATCACACAGAAGGGCCTTTTAACTGTAACCCTAACTACTCTGCTTAGGGTAGGGATGTTGCTGTATCTCCTTCTCCATGCCCCTAGGAAAAGACCAGGTGAACACCAGCAGGGATTAGGGAGGCAATCTTAGGGTAAGAAAAAACTAGATGGTCACTGTATACATGGTACTCTTAGCTTTGACTTGGTCAAAATTTTAACAACAGGTTATATGTTCAGTTTTACATTTTGTTGTACAGTGTCTTGGAAGGATTTGCTCTTAGGACAAATTCTGGACCTTCTGGAGCTGTGGACACATTTGGAAATTTGAGAAATTGCTGTGGGTACCATCAAAAATGCTGCCTCAGTGTCTACCTGCCATGTCTATGCATTTTGGGCTACAAAAAAATTGTGTCTGCTGGACACTCACTGTCCTGTTGATAAATGATTATTGAATTTGGCTAATTGAGGATGCCTCTGCTAGAAGATGGCTTGTCTTTTAACAATCAAACATCAAATTAAACCATTAAAATCCTTTAACCATCAAACAAATAGATAGATGGACACTGACCTATTTCCATGGATCATCTCATGGGTACAGTGGTACAAACCAACCAGGATTTTACGATCATCAATACGGGAAAGGAGTAAGATGACAGATGCATAGGTAACAATCAGGTCAAGGTAATTCTTAGTGAAGTCATAATTCACATGCTACAGAAAACAAAAGTGCCATGATGTACAAATAGCAATCCATGATTAGCATTTGCCTCAATACTAAGCTTTCAACGAAAGGTTTAAATAAGCCATTGGTTCTAAACCTCTTTCTCCCAAAGCAATAATTCTTTAAAAATAAGCCTTAGTTCCTGGCCATTAAGGGGTCAGCTGGTTTTAGGGAAGTGCAAATTAGTGAATATCAAGCTGAACAAAGTTCTCTGAATTCCATCTCAGAGCTCATTCTGATGCGAGTCTGTATCAGATTGCAAGTTTTGCTTTTTACATGAAAATCTCTGCCTATTTTTCCAAAAGCATGGATCAATTGCAGACACCTCTGACATATACATTCTTTTCCTATTGATTAAAGCATATCTGTGCATGTTTTTCAAAAGTAAATGTACCATCAATCCCCATTTTGGGCATCCATGAATCACACTGCAAGCTCAGAAATTTATAGACTTCAAAGAGCATGTCCATGTTCAATCCAGAAAGTTCAAAGAGGGAAAACCCTGATAAAAAGTAAACTGAAACTAATCTCACGTATAACCCATGCTGATTCCCACCACGGTTCAGACAGCAATCGCTCAACGCTCAAGGCATTTCAGCTATGGTTCATAAAAGAATTTCCCTCCCAAAGTAAATAGTGGCATTGGTGAGTAGAGGATTGCTCAGAAAGATGGCACAGTTGGAAATGTTAAACCTCCTTTCCCCTCTGCTGCATGCTTCTACTGGTTCCCCACCTCCACAGTTGCTTTGCCTTTTCTTTCTAAATTTTTGTGCATCCAAACTTTGTATCTTCCCATCATTCCTTTGGGACTGATCTTGAGGATCTCTGTGAAGCCCTTCCAAGTCAGTTACTTGGTTCACATGACATGAGAACCCACTGTGGTTTATAACTAACCATGGTCAGTTTACCTATCATCCAAACCTAGCACTCTTTCTGAAACATGCCCTGTGGCTTATTCTGGGATTAATTAACTCCCTGTGAGTTAACATGCCTTTCAAGCCTAGACCTAGACTAAACCATGGTCAAGCAGAAAATAAGAGTCCCTTGGCCAGAGTAGCAAAACAAAAACAAAACAAAAAACCCCCCACTGCCACTGTGGCCAAGGGCACCAGCTGATGACAGCTGGAAAAGCAGGGCTGTCCTCAGTTTCCCCAGGGTGCCTGCCAATACAACATTAGCAAAAGCTTAAGGGAACATTAGCAAAAGCTTAAGGCTTCTGCTGGCATCAGCAAGTCCATTGGGCAAGGAAGCAGACGATAGTGGCCAGAAATGCTAACCCACACTCAACCCACATTCAAGCCTTGAATGCATGTCTGAACCCAGTCAGAGATTCTACAGTTGTAACGCTGGAGTTTGGGTTATGAAAGGACTGCTGGATTACTTTATCCAATCAACTAGTGACCAAGTATCTTTCCTTTTGTTAAGGAGAAGTTTGTATCTAGTTGGCTTTTGGGAATTAAGGCTTTGCTTCCTCCTTCTCTGCAGGAGGTGATGCCATCATGTATTTTGTGATGAAGTTGTAAGTTTCACTTTTGAGTAAGACAGAATTGCAACTCAAGATAGTTGGGGAGAAAGGAAGCTAAGCTTAAAGTTCTAGAAGCTTCTTCAGAGTGCAAGAGTCACTCTAGAAGCTAAATGGGGATACAGTACCTATTAATGTTGTAAATCATGATTTATTTATGTATTAAATTTGTATAAAAGCCACCTGTTAGCATTATGCTTTCTGGGAGGTCATTACAATAAAAGTATCAATTTATGCTCAAGTGCACACGTGTGTGTGTGTGTGTGTGTACTCACCATAAGTTTCTATCTATCTCATTCAAATGAAATGAAATCCTGGGTAAAATACTCAAAGCCCTGGCGCTCTTGTCATTCAGAATATTTCTAAGAATCCATAACGTTCAACAAACTTGAGGAGGAGGGGCCAACAGAGTTCCATCTTCCACCTTACTGGCACTCTAGAGTGCCTGCTATGGTCCTGGCATCAAGACAGCCGTAACGAACTGTCCATCGTTAGAAATTCCTTAGACATTCAAGGCGCAATCCTGTGAATAAGGGCTTATTTCCTGTCTAAACTTGGATGGAGCTGTATCCTCAGGCACGGGGTTTTACACTTTAAAAAGGCCCACCAGATTTCCAACAAAAAACAAACATCCATGCTCTATTCAGATCACACTCACAATGTCGAAGTAGCACTGGCTGGCATCAATGGTATTTAACAATTCATAGACGTGGTCCTAAAGAAGAAAGTGAACATCAACAAAGCTCTTATACTAAAGAACTCATGGTCTTTCCCGGGGTCTTTTTTCCTATAGCATTTGGCATGATTTCTGTATTTTCAGGGCATTGCATCATTTTATTCTACCTTTCCTCCACCATATCCTCACAACAGCCCTGTGAGGTAGGCCAGGCTGAGAGCCAGCGGTTGACCCAGAGTCACCCAATGACTTTCATGGCAGAATGGGAATTTGAACCCAGATCTCCCCAGTCCTAGTCCAACAGTCTAATCAATGTGCCACACTGCCTAGCAATCAAGATCACCTGTCTGGAACCCCTTTACTCAGGCTTGGATTATGGATCAGGCTAGTACACTATGGAGAAGGAGTGCTTAAAATCCAGAAGAATTGTACTCCCTGCCATGGCTCACTTTTCCATAGCTCTCCCTTCTTGCTTCTCCCTAAAGCAACCCCAACCCCAACAATCCCTGCCTTCCATTGACATCCCACTGCAATTTTAACCAAGGACGGCTAAAAATACCAACCAGGATGAAATGGATTCCTTTTCTCCTACCTCGCAATCACCAAAAAGCTTGATGAATCATCCCGCATTTTGCTTCAGACTGCTTTGATGACAATGATAAATGTTTGTTTTTCTGTCTTTGGGCACCAGAGATCTAGCTGATTATGTACTCAACTGTAAACTGTATGTAGCATTACAACCGAAATGAACGATTCATTTTTTTTCTTTTAAAAAATTGTTCTTTCATTTCTGAAGAAGCTGGCTTACTTATCAAACACAAAAATGTCAAGATAATTTATCTGGCTGCTATCTTTGCTTATTTAACAAATGCCCCATCCACACAATTGTGACGACTTTTTCATTCCAATTCTATTTTAGTATTCTACATTCTGTTTTTATTCTGAACAGGCTTTAAATTGTAGAATGAGGGATGGTGACATACTTTTCAAAAAACCTCATGCCATGGACTGGATTTTTATACAGTTTTACCACAAAAGCTAACAAATCAACTCTATTGACTTTGTTCAAGGATGTCTAGCATGTTAAATAACAGACCTGAGGTTTGATACCAGCCCCAACCCCACGGAATCAAGGTACAAGGAGATGAAGTCTTCCCTCGTGGACCTACTTCACTGGTCATTGAAATCACGGGGAAGACGGGTGAAGGTGGATGATCCCCTCCTACAGCTATTCTCTGTCCACAGAGTATGGAGCAATAAGCAAGAACAGACCAAGCATGAGAAACCTAAGCCTCTTTCTTCGTAACAAACGGGAAGAATCAAGTACTGCCCTAACCACAGGGAGAAAGAGCAATCATCTATTTCTTTCCTACTTCTACACAACAGCATCATGATGGTCAGCAGCAGCCCTGAACATTTAAAGACAGAGCTGCCCCAGTCACACAGAACGTGTTTGGTGGGTTCCAGTTTTAGGACAAAAAGATGGGAGGGTGAGGAGAGCAAACGGGTCTTTCTCCGCAGCTACTGCCTGCCAAGCAGCACTCCATATCGCATGCTCTAGGCCAGGCTTTCTGCCAGGGTTCCAACACCAACCGTTTTCTTGCTAAGGGAAACATGCTTGAGGAAAGCCGGGCTTCTGCAAAGTGAGCCAGAGAGGAGGGCTCAGCTTTTCTCATCCGTATGTTTTGTCTTTTAAAACCGGACCTCTCCTGAGCAACTGAGAGTGGGGCAGTATGTCTTGTTCCTTCACCAATTCTTGGAACCCCTTGCTCCCATTATCCATCACCATTGAGCTGCCACAATTAACAAGGAGAAGAACTAATAGAAGGTAATAGAGGGTGCGCTAGTATGGTGCAGTGGTTAATGTTGGACTGGGATGCAGAAGTCTCCATCCAGCCATGAAGCTCACTGGAGAACTTTGGGCCAGTCAATGATGCTCAGCCTAAACTACCTCACCTGGATAAAATAGAAACAAAAAGGATTAGATAAACCAACATGGGTTCTCTGCAGGGAAAACATGGAATATGAATATAATAAATAAAAATGATGCAATCCTAGGCAGATTTATGCAGGAGTCTTATTGCCAGATAAGCCATTATAGGATTGGAGTCAAAAACATGTTGAAGCAATGAACAGGTGCAGACCTCCTATGTATTCTGCACATGTTGTGCCCAGTTTTTCTATATGCCTGTCAGCAATAGGGCATCTGGCCAATTAAGAACTTTGAAACAAGGTGGCCTTGAACAAATGCCATCATCCTGGTCCATCAACACAGAGGTGAGGAAAGGAGAGACCCCTTCCCCAATCAAAATGAGTATGCATAAGAAGCAGCAGCTCCACAAAATCCACTGAAGCCCAGCTAACACTCACCCGGAATTCCATTACATCCACAAAGGTTTGGTAATAGGCAGTAAGAGCCCGGAAAATATCTGCTTTCTCTTTGTGTACTGGCCCCAAGTGTTGCTGAAAAGAAATGACAAACAGAGGCGTAAATAGGGGGAATCAGTCAACGGTAGCAGTGGGTGCATCACAATCCCATTCTTCTGGGGCACAATATAGGGCTCTCCTATTCCCTTGCTAGGAAAAACCTCCCTAGGGCTGTGATTTTTCCCACCAGCATTATTGGGAGTTATGTTTGTTTTAATTTCAGAGGGTCTTTTTCTGGAAAAAATTGGAATTTTTAAGAGGAACAATTAAAAGAAATGAATCAAAGAAACGCACACAAAAATAAATCCAGATGAACTGTTTAACCTTCAACTATAGGACTAACTGTGATGGATGGCTACCTTTAGGCTGGCTTTCCTTCCTTCCTTCCTGTCTTGGTCACAGAACTCCTAGTTTAGCTTTGCTTCTTTAGGGCATTTCAATACCTTTAAAATAATTGTTCACCATTTTTGTATTTGCAATGCTAAATGGAATTACTAGGGAGTAACCTCCAAGGAACAGAGAGCTTTCATTCCAGCTTAACTTGTTTAGGCTTGGATCATTCTATGTTGGTTTTGTCATTCCTCATCCTGAATACTTGTTCAGGGAACTGATTCATTGAATCAACTAACCCAAACGTAAACCCTTCTCATAGCACCTTTGCAACATAATCCTGTGCACATTTGCTCAGAAGTAGGGACATGTGATGCAATTTCTCAGTGTTTCCATTCCAACAAACAGTGGTGGACCATAGGAGTTACTGTTTCCTGCTTTCAGAAACATTCATAATTTTTGCACATTCCCCCCACCCCCCAGTCCTATGGTTTGCCCAAATGGAATTGCAACGTTATTGGTAATTTAGCATGCAAAAATAGGACGGACTTTGTGTTTTGTTTGTTTTTTCATCTTTCAAGTTCAGAAGGTTTGGGGCCTTTACATTCACACAAATGGGGTTCTATTTTTTCCCCTTAAAAATAAAAAATCAGGCTTCTTGTGCAAGTCCACCTGCTTGCTGTGTGTAGCCCAATGCATTTCAAATCCCAGCCTTTCTCAGTGGGAATCTGCTTGACAACCTGGTATTCTGATCATTAGCTATACTAACTGGCACTTATGGGCACTGAAACCCAAAACATCAGGAGCACACCAGGTTGCCTACTCCTCGTACATAAGGCATTTGGACTGCCTCAGTCATTTGATAAACTCCTATCGAACTAAGGGAGCAGGAGTGTGAAAAACGATTACACAAATAGTCGTGCCCAGAGCAATCCTAATGGGGAAGAGACACAAAGTGGTAGACCCCCTGCCACTTCCTAAGCCTGACCAACTTCCCAACTCTTTCAGCCCAGTTAATCTATTTTTATCCCAGTGAGCACAGGAGGAACCCCAAAATAGGTGGCATGAAATGAGCTACATGAGCTTCCAGGAGCTTATAATTGAGGGAAACGGGGCTCTCTGGATTCAGCACAGCATCATAGAACCATAGAATAGTAGAGCTGGAAGAAGCAGGAAGGCCATTGGGTCAAACCCCCTGCTGGTGCAAGACACCAAGTTCCACCATCCCACTCAGGTGGCTGTCCAGTTTCTCCTTGAATGTCTCTACTGTGGGAGAGCCCACCACCTCTCTAGGCAGCTGGTTCTACTACTGCATTGCTCTGACAGTGAGGAAGCTTTTCCTGATGTCCAGCCTCAATCTGGGTTGTCGCAACTTGACTTAATTATTCCTTGCCCTACACTCTATCAGCAAGAAGAGATCTTGACCTTCCTCTTTGTGACAGCCTTTGAGGTGCTTACAGAGGGATATCATGTCCCCCCTCAGTCTTCTCTTCTCCAGGTTGAACATACCCAGTTGTCTCAGTCTCTCCTCATAGGGCAGTGTTTTCAAACCCTGGGTCATTTCTGTTGCCCATCTCTGGACCCAGCAGATCCATCACATTTTGGATGTGGCACCTCAAAATGCCAGAAATAGCTCTCCATTGGCAGGGCTTTCCTACCAGGACAGACACACCTGGTCTGCTAGTGGAGAAGCACTCATGCTCCACCCTAGTCCCTCTCAACAGAGCTGTCAGAGGGAATGAGGATTGCACGCTAAGACTGTGATTAATTTTACAACCTGTTCAGCAAGTTACAAGTACGCAGATTCACCTGCCTTGATGAAGCTGAGCTGTTGCTTTTTTTCTCCTTGAGAAAGGCTAGAAAGGTTTGGAACATGATAAAAATTAGATATAATCTATTGTCTCTGCAGCTGGCACTGTCCTTTCTCAGATGTTTGCAAGCTTTACATTCCAACCACAAGCCCCACTCTCCCAGTCCACAACCCTCACTGTAACATCAGCTATGCCCGCTCTGGATATCAACTTTTGCGGAGGTACCAGCAGCTCATATTGCAGACCCTTCAATGTATTCACTATCCATGATACCAAATGCCTTCTTCTTGAACTGGGACAAACATTGAGGTCCACCAAAGCCTGACATGACAGATTTTCCAATGGTGCTTTAAAATCCCTTTTTTACAGCAGCTTTTGGAGAGTTCTCTGCTGCCAGAAGTGCTCTGCTTAACAGCTTTTAAAATCATACTGATTCTTCTTACAATATTTTCCATGTCCATAAGCATCTTGAAATTTCAAGTAGGAAGCTCAATTGTTATGAATCAAATAAATAAGGTTATACAGGGGCACTATGTTACAGGGATCCTACTAGGAACTGTCATCTGGTAGGCATCTTTCCATGCTACTGGCTCAAGGATATGATAGGAGATTCTTTCGTTAGGCAGACTAAGCATTAATAGTCCATCCTGTTCTAACTCAGGATCCCCGCCATGAAAAGACATCATATCCTATTCATTAGCTCCCTGTGATGTAACATCAACAGACCATCCTGGCCTCCGGATAGCTGGAGCTATTGAGAGTCATGTATAAGATGCCTGTTAGGCTGTGGAGAACATCACCTCTACCAGGCAGGGGTAAAAACAGGAGAAAATGCAGTTGGCAGGTCTTGAACTAGAAGGAGATGGGAGAGCCATAAGGCATACCATTTTTAGCTCCTGGAATTACATAAGAACAGCAGTGCAGCCTTGGAAGGCTACATAAGATACCCTCTAGTGCAGACTATATTGCATGCTCATAGAGGTATATTTGCTTTCACTATATTCAGTCTGTCTAGTTGCAGTTAAAGCAAACATTACACAAAGCTCTATACATCTCATATGCCCTCTCATCCAAACAGAACTACCTTAAGTCTCCAAAAATAACTGAGCCTTGTGACACCTGCAAGACTAGCAGATTTATTTTGTCATATACTTTTGGGGACCAGTCATGAAAGTTTATACCAAAATACATTGGTTAGCCTTTAAGGTGCCACAAGATACTTGCTAAAACAGACATTCCCCTCTAGAAATTATTATAACTAAGCTTGGTAGTCCGTGGGAAAGAACTCTAGGAAAATTGGAGAGAATGTAACAGTATTATATGAAGGTAATGCAGGCAGATCTACTGGTACTATGAGTTGTGACAGCAACGAATTTAACCTTAGGAGACACAAAAGAATGATCCTGGGGCTCCTGGAGGACTATACATTAGCTCGGATTCCCCGCTCTAAGATAAGAAACAGTGCTACAAACTTAGAGCTGGGAACCAGGGTTCCAAACCCCTCTCTTGTCCCCCTGTGGCTGGCATGGAAAGAATTGCACTGGTTGTTCTGCAAGGTCAGGAGAAGGGGACAAACTGAGCTTTCTGTTACTGAGAGCATGACCTGCCTTGCTCCCCACCCCAGGCTAACTCCAGGTCTCACCGTGCCACTCCGTATGTCCAAGTTTGGGAACTTCTTGTAGATATATTTGATGGAGGACTCCATGCTCTTCTCGGTCAAGAAGGCTGGCTTGGCCTGAGGTTCTAAGCATGTCTGCAAAGATAAAACAAAAGCCGTGCTCAGTCACCTTCACGTGTGCACATTCAACAGGTTACTTGCCTGCTTCGCTCAGTATAGTCAGACCAATTGCAGGACCTGGAGAATATCCTCCTTCCATTATACATGACGGTGAGTTATGCAGAGATAGAGGGGTGAACCCCAGAATTTTTCATGATGCCTGGTTTGTGAGCTCACTAGTCTTAACAGCAAAAGCTGTTTAGGGAGCATATAGCTTTATAGTCTTTTAATCTCCTCCTGGATCAGTATTGCCCCATCTCTCTGGACTGCTTCATGTAGCTCTCAAGGGGCAAGAGAAAGTCTCCCCCTGCTTTTAATGACAACCAACCCAACTTAGATAAAGTTTTCAGCAGAGGTCACAATTTACCAAAAATTGACCAGAGAAGGTCAGGGGTTGGAAATGATCAGTTACATAATCCTTCACATTCACAGTACACCTTCCAATGATCAAAACACTTCAGATGCATTTTCTAGTTGTGATCCTTACAACTCAGCAATGCTGAGTTGCATCAGTATCATCATCATAAAGCCCCCCACATAATCCAAGCACTGCATGTGTGTATAGAACAGCCAAGAGGTTTGCCCACTTCACACATGTGATAAAGTAGGTTCTTGCTTGCAAATACTTATGCTACAGTGATTGCACTAGTCTTTGAGGTGCCTAAAGATGCCCCCTCCTACAGTGCTCTGCACCTATAACTCCAGTTGCTTTCCTGTACTTTCCACATCTTCCTGTCGTGCTCAGCATTACTGATGGCACAGGATTTTATTTTCAGCTAATACTGAAAATTATCAGCTGCATCCTGGCATCTCCTTTTCAATGGTGAAATAAATTTGTATAGAAAGGCATTCCCAAAAAGCATTTCCAATCCAGACTACAGAGCTTTAGCAGTATAACCTGGTTCTGTGAATTGAGGCTGGGTGCACAGAGGAAGCAAATTGCTCCAAGAGGGTTTATTTGGACCTCCACCTTAAGTTAATCCAATAAGAGGGGTCACCTTCACCTTGGGTTCAGAAACCCCAAAACAGACCTACATGACACTCAAAAGGAGCGCTTTCCTTCAGCTTCGGCTAATCCATCAGCTGCGTCCCTACTTGGAGGATGACTGCCTAGTGGCAGTGACACATGCATTAGTTACTTCCCGATTGGACTACTGTAACACGCTCTACATGGGGCTGCCCTGAAGAGAGCCAGTGTGGTGTAGTGGTTAAGAGCATGGGACTGGGACTCAGACGATCTGGGTTCTAGTCCCCGCTCAGCCATGGAGCCACCTGGGTGACTTTGGGCCAGTCACAGACTCTCAGCCCAACCTACCTCACAGGGTGGTTGTTGTGGGGATAAGATGGAGGAGGCAATGTAAGCTGCCTTGAGCCCTTGGTAGGAAAAAGGCAGGATATAAATTGAAAAATAAATAAACAAACAAACAAACAAACAAGACAGTCCGGATACTTCAGATGGTGCAAAACAGAGCAGCCAGGTTGCTGATGGGGATTGGGCATTACTCTCACATAACCCCAGTCCTCTACCAGCTTCACTGGCTCCCCATTGAAGTCCGGACTCAATTCAAGGTGCTGGTTATCACCTACAAAGCCCTTAATGGCTTGGGACCTGGATACTTGAAGGAACGCCTGCTTCCATATTTGTCCTCCCACCCCTTGAGATCGGCAGCAGAGGCCCTCCCCTGGGAGCCTTCCGTGAGAGACATCAGGAAGCAAAGTACCCAGAGGAGGGCTTTCTCTGCAGTGGCGCGCCATCTGTGGAATGCGCTCCCCAGAGAGGTCCGCTTGACGCCATTGTTATTTGTCTTTTGGCACCAGGCTAAGACCTTTTTATTCAAACAATATTTTAACAACATATAATATTTATAGGTTTTAATTGTGCAGCCAGAGTGTTTCCGGGTTTTATCTGTATTTGTATTATATTTATTTGTGTGAGCCGTCCTGAGGCTATATAGCAAGGGGACAGCATACAAAAACTTTAAATAAACAAACAAACAAACAAAATGAGCTTCTGTGAGTTGATGAAACATGGACTGGTTCTGGGTGGGCACTGAGTGCAGTCATCTAGGGCAGGCCAGCACAAACTGAGAGTGCGGTCATCTAGGACAATGCTCATTTAGACCTGCTGGCTGCTTATCAAGTCCCTGTAACTGCAGTCCCAGCAAGGTAGGTTTAGAGCATTTTTGTTGGGCCATCATAGTTTGGCCCAACTTAAGTTTGGCCTGATGGGTCACAGGTGGCGCAATGTTTTCTTTAAAAAAAATAATTCCAGGGCCCAGTCTGGCGTCCACTGAAACTATTCAGTAGTAAAAAGATATCACTGTGCATACAACCACAGAAACATGGCTTGCAATTAGAACAAGAACTCACCCTGGGCACAGTTAAGGCTGAATTCTAGTCAAGTGAGCTCTGGCTATGTCAATCCAGTGACCAAGCACCACTAAAATAGTTTGTTAAAAGGGCTGGGATTAAGGAGCAGGTATGTGGGCGGGCAGGAATTCCAAGGAGAAAGGAGTATGTCCTCTGAGAACATCCTGAAATTAAGAATCACTTAATTTATGTGATTAATCACTTAAGTAATCACTTAATTTTAATCATTAAAAATTAATCATTCTGGAATGCAGCAAGAATCACAATTGCTTCTAGATGGCAATCATTGGAGCCCCCAACAATTGTGGAGAAATAAACTAGCAGAATATGCTGTGATAGCAAAGTTAACTATGTAAACAGAAGACCGTTAGAAGAATTCAATGATAAATGGAAATTTTATTATGCTTGGTATGACTAATGAGAGTTGAGGGGAATTTGCAAAAGAAAAAGCAAAGCAGTAGCAAGTTTGAAGTGATCAGAAGATTTGCTGTTGTATAGATTAATGATTTCTGTTAAACTCTCATAAAGCACTGAAAGACAGGAAGACAGATTTGGAGGACTGAATGTATAGGTTGCATTTGTTTAAAATTCTCTTGGCAGCTTTGTTCACTTTGTTTATTCTAGCTTGCTCTGTTCAGTTTAGTTTGCTTTGTTTCACATTCTCTTTTATGTATTTGTTTATGTTAAGAAAAGAAAGATTTTTTAAAAAGAGTGCAGAGCCCAAACTGGAAACATCTCCCCAATCTTTCCCTTTCATTCATGCCCCAGAGTAGCTCCCTCAGAGTAGCTCCCACCGGTGGAAAGCCAGCCAGCAACAAGCCCCCTCACTGGGTAGCTCATCTTAGGCAAAACAATGGCTCTCCCCACTCTCCTGACCTAGCATCTCTTCCAAAACTTATCCGCTCTCATGCTTGGCTAGGAAACTCAGCGCAGAGTTTGATGGAGTTTCAAAGGTTCCTGCCCTCCCCATCTCTTCCATGGATTCCTCTTCAGAATCCAAAAACACAGGCCCTCACAAAGAAAGTGAGGAGCAAGTGCCAGGCCCACTCACTACAATGTGTAACCCTACATCAGATCCACACTTCAACTTGCAACTCCTTCTCTCTCCACAGAGGAAAAAAAGAAATCTGTCAAACCATTGCGTTTTGCACAGCGTCAGTTAATGGCAAGTCCTCACTTGGGGCTTAAATTATCCTACCCTGTTGGGGAATTGCCCATGCGGAAGACCAGACATGGCAATTAAAGGAACAGCACTCTTTCTGCAATCTCAAACTCTAAACAAGGGGGACTGTGAGGCAAAACGAGAGTGACAGAGCCATCCACTGGGATCACTCAATACTATGGACCTTCTTGTTCATACTGCTAATAGACATCCCCTCAACTGCACATATGTGGACACGCATATACACCCACTAAAATCTTGTGCAACACCCTACTGCCATTTTGAGCAATGTGAAATGCAACCATTGGGCGGGATGGTACCCAAAGCCATTTGCTGTTACTACAGAAGTGACCGTGAAGGCCTCACAGGGTGGAAGGAAGGGGAAAGAGGGCCCTGCTGATAATTTGCTTTAAAGCCACAGCAGGGTGAGCTGCTGTTGCGGCTGAGAAAAGAGGAACCCTTAAGCACCTTCACACAACAGGAACAGGAAACAGCTGCTTGCTTGTGGTGGTTCTGCATTTGCTAGCACGGCTTACATGGCTGTAAAGCGACAGTCAGTGACATTTCTTTCCTCCCCCCCCCCACCCCCCGGGCCTTCTTATCAGGCACCAGATAAAGTGGTGCCTAGAATAAGGCAGTTCAGGACAATTACCAGACCGAATGTACAGAAGAACTGGTCTTGAAATGGGACACCTAAGTTCAAAGCCCCCTCCAGCCATGAGTGTCACTAGGTGACTTTGGTCCAATCTCTCTCTCTCTCCCCACTCTCAAATTAGCCTACCTCGCAGGGTTGTTAAGAATGTACAACAGGAAAATCTTGTGTAAGTTTCTAGAAACTCCTTGAAAGAAAAGTAGAATACAAATGTGGCCACTCGGTAGCTACTATCACATTTCCCCTGCCTTGTTAATATTGATTTCATAGGGTCAGACAGGGAGACCTGTACCCCACCCAGGTAGCAAGCAATGTGTATTAAGTAACACAAAACCAAGAAAGTTAGAGGACCACATGGGAGAATGACAAAGAGGGAGAGCCAATGTGCTCGGGGCAGAGTCCAAGCCATAGTGAAGTTTGAGGCATTAAAGGTGGCTGTGTGGTAAATGTGAAGGCCTTGAAGAGGGACCCTTGAGACAGGGCAGAAGTGGCTAAATAAGCACCCCAAGCATGATGCAAGCCTTCTCTTTGAACAACCTACAAGCACTTCCTGGGGGAGCCCTGATCACCTCCTTAGCTTTCCTAGCCCAATTTTTGGAGGGCACAGGGGCAGACTTCACCTTCTCACAATCAAGATCAAAGCAGGAGATCTGCTTACTAAATTGAGCACCACTACTATTTCAAAGCAAGAATAGTCACCATAAATTGTGATCCCTACCTTCCCACAACTGCGGCCAAAACAATGATCCTTCCCTTTTACTCCAAACCACCAGTTTTTTTTTTAAAGTACCAAGCAGCTCCCCACTCCTGTTCTACCCCACCAGATCCCATAATTTCCTTCTCAGGGCGAAGCATCAGCCAGTTTCCCAGGAGAACATGAAGACCTGTGAGGGCTAAGATCTGTGCCTACCTTCCTGATATTGTACATGCGAATGAGGACTCCTTTGCCCCTCTCATTGAGGATCGTCAGCTTCTCTGCAAATTTCTGCTGGTACACTGAGGGCAGAGACATCTCCCTGCACAACTGTTAGGGCCCCTTTGTTTTCAGTTGAAGCAAGATTCCAAAGTACAGAAGGGGAGCACCACAAGGCAAAAAATTCAGAGAGAGGCAAGAGGCCTGAGCACCATTCAACAGCCACACCCAGCTTGCCGCACCACTTGCTACTTTCTCATTGGGCCTCCAGCCACAAATAAGCTTCACTGCACCAGTTTTCCCCTTGAGTAATGGTGAACGCAGCTTCCCCTCTCGGGTTGGGACTTCCTGTGGCAGGGGTGTCTGATAGATACTGCAGCTCCAGTGCAATGCAAAGTTTCTATAGATCACGTTCAGTTTGTTCTGTTGCAGGAAACCTCTTCATGCCACAGTGTTTGCAGTTTCTGCCCAAGCATGGCTATTAGGATGACCACCCATCCTTCTAGGTGTCTGTGCCTTTTAAAAGCTGAAGGACGGGAAGAAATTAATAGGTCAAGCTACACTGCATGTATGTGTTGGTCTATATTTCTAAGGAGCTCAGTAGGCAGAGATTTCTGGGTAGTTCACAGAAAATGCATCATGATGAAACTTAATTTTCTTTTAAACTTTTAATGGTTTTATATTAAGTGTAAAAGCCACCTGCAGGAGCAAATCTGAAAACATAACACATATTTTTAAAAAACAACTTTTAAAATCCTGCAGAAAGAAAAAGATCTTCACTTGGTGAAGAGAAGACTGCAGTGGAGGTGCCAGGCAGGTGACTTTGGGGAGGCCATTGCGCAGTCAGGGTGCTTCTCCCCCTGCGTAGTCATTTGCCTTATCTCACCTGGTGGAGGCTCATGGAGGAGGGTCTCTGAAGAGAATCTCAGAATCTGGGCAGATATATATGGGAGGGGACAATCCTTTAGATGACCAGGTCCCAAGCTGTTCAGGGCATTAATACCAGCCCTGAAACAGGTGGAAACCAATGCATATTACAGAGCACTGGCATAAAAGAGTCACAGCGCCCAGTCCCTGTTAACAATCTCACTGGGCCATCTGAAATCTAAGTATCTGGGGCCAAACAGAATACAAATCCAAGCAGCATTTTACTCCCTGCATCCCCATGTTTTCCAGCTGCTGGGTCCCCCCACGCCTTTCCTTGAAGAAAAAAAAATGTATACCCACATAGAATACATGTGTGTAAACAAAAAAGTGCAGTTATCAGTCATGGTATCATCAGCCTTAACCAATATTAACTATATTTCTATATTGCCCACTAGCCTATATAGAGAGAGATGCTTCAATTTGGAGTCTTGCATTGAGCAGGGTCCTGGACTCTAAGGTCTTCTTGGCCCCTTCAAATTCTACTATTCTATGATTCTATTGGTCACAAAAACATAAGTGGAAAACATAAAACATAATAGTTTCTGGGACACTCAATCAGCTATATTCCACATGGCAGTCCAAAATACCTGCTGGAGAAGGCTAAAGAAAAAAAACATTTGGTGGGGAAATCCTCAAATCCCCCACAACTAGAGGTTTACAACTGCCCACTAACTAGGAAATAAATTGATTGTCTGGAAAGACCAAGGTTAAGAAAGTAAATTGCATAACCGAGTATCCAAACAGCTCCTTTCATTTGCAAGTTTACTTTTAAACCTCACATCACTATGACAATATTCAGGTTAGTTTGTTGCAATGATGTCACAAAGTTCCTCAAAAAGCCACCATCCTATTGGCTGGGCCTCCTGTTAAGCCGTTAGATAAGACAAAGCCTGAATTAGTGTAGTTGAATGCAGCTGTCTGGATGCAGTTGCTTCTGAAAGACTCTGTATCTTAAGGAGAACAATTAGGAGCAAAGTAGATGTGCGCACTTTTTGCCAGCTAAGTAAAAAAGACTCGATTATTCACACTTGAGTCGTCACCAAAGCAACTTTTTATGATTGAAAACAGAGCTTTCAGTCGGGTGAGTGGTAAGTTAGAAAACATTGATATGGTAAGGTTTTCTTGTTGCTATAAATTATAGTAGCCCTGTTGAGACATCGAGAAAGCTGAAGGAGTTAAAAACATACAGAGAAAAGATAAAGTAATTCCACTCTGTGTCTTATTTCTATGCCAGAATTATTGCTGGTCTTGGGATTAGAAGATGGTTACTGTTCATTTTTTAATTGGTGTGACAATGACTGCATTAACAAACAGAAAAATAAAAAGCATAGATAATTGATGGACAAAACATTCACAATTGTTAAGGAGAGGTGAAAAGCAGAAGATACTGGAAATAGGGTAAGAATCCTGAATGTAACTTTTGTAGAGACAAAAAGAACTCTTAAAATGATTTCAAAGAAATAGAAGAGGAAAAAACAGAAAGGACAAAAGAGATTTCCCAGAAAATGACTTTGATTCAAGAAATCAAAGGGAAATTCAAACCTAAATTAGGAATGTTGAAAGACCGACAGGGGAACATACTACAGGTAGTCCATAGGTTACAAACAACCCGTACACATGGACTGACCTAAACCCTATGTGAATACCTTCAACAAAAAGCCATGAATATCTCTAGTGAATCTGTACCTCTACCACTCTACCAAAAGGGAACTATGCAATGTGTTTGGTGACACATTTCTCAGTGGCCACATAGTTCCCTAGAGATAAGAGTATTTATGGCTTTTAATTGCACAGCATTACAACCCTAGACTCCAGTGGTAACCCCCACCCCACACCTCCAGCAGCACAATCAAACTCTGACCCTCCAGCACCAGGTCCATCTCCATCATCATCATCATCAGTTAATGTTAGGCTTAATGTTAACTCAATGTTCTAGAGTTTTAACAACTGTTTTTTATTTGTTTTTTACAATACTGTATATCTACACACACAGAGAGATTCTCCTGTAGTTGCAGTTACTTTATTATTACTGTATTATAATTGTGAGATTCAAAACTCTGTGAGACAAGATCTGGGCAGGCACAAGCAGCTTTATTGAAGCATTTGCAAAGGCTGGCTCAGAGTCTCAGTTGCCTGAGGAACAAAGAGCAATTTACACAAAGCATACATGAGATTATATACATTTCTTTCCCCAATGCTCAGCACTACCCCCGCTTTGCCATTGTTTCCTTAGTTAGGATTTCCACTACCTCTTGTAATCAAATAATTCTGTTTAACATATAAATGGGAGTTCGGTATCCCCACATCCCATCTTCAGCCCATGTCGCAGGTCCGTACACCTGTATTATCCTTTCAGGTGGCCATTCATCATCTTTCCACTTTTGTCCTCCACCTAATTGCAGGCCTCGTTTGTTCCTCTTTCCCAGTTCGTCATACACAGGTATTCCTAACTGTTCTCCTCTACTGATAGGGAGGAGCAAAAAACTAGGTTTTATTGTCCCCAATGTGCATGTTCCTTCCCATCCACGCGGTAACTTAATATAAGCCCTTTTCCCACAAATCCAGTAAAGGCCATCTGGGGCATCCCATTCTGTAGTTTCATCATTCAAATTTTCCCATAAGCTTTTCAGCTTACTAATGGATTCAAAGGGGTTTCTGGGTTTTGATCTGTTTGTCCCACTCCACCATTCTACTCTTGTCCCATTAGTGGTTAACATGTTTTTACACACCAAATTTCCCAAGGAAGTATCAAACCTTCCTTTATTTTTCTCTCTATTGAAGCAGATATTTCCTATAATGGAAGTGGTCAAAATCCATGTCCCTCGTTGCTCCTGGTCTTTCCAAGTTATATTTACATTGGTTACATTAGTTAGATCTATTTCTCTGGCTTCCCAAGGCCATCTTTCTCCCATATTCGTTCCTCCACACACAAAACAATTCTTGGCACCTAAAGTTTGAGCTATATTTTCTGCCAGGGTTCATTGCCTCAATGTAGTCTTATTTGTAATGCCCATTCCTGTTTGGACGTCTTAGGGTCATAACATTCTGTTCTACCATTCGATTGGCAAGTGCTCTATTCTGTGTCCTTATACTTACACTGTCCTTTTTTCCCTTACAGTCATATTGTGTGTGGTATACAAGAGTTTGTGTTATGTTGGTACCCTGTCAAGTGGTGGTTATACATTCACTACATTGATTATTAACCTCTCTCCTAAGTCTCCTCTTTTGTGATAATTGGCAAGTTCCCTTCCATCCTGCTCTTAATTCTTCTACCCCTGAAACTTTTTCTTGGATTTCCTCTACACATCTCACTTGAACATCAACCCCCAGATTCCCTATAGGGGCATGTCCACACATGCCTTTTCTAAATATCTGTCCGATTGATTTGCATATTCTTATATCTCCAGGCTCTCACTTATCCGAATTACGGCCAGCACTATTATTCCTTTAAGCAGGAACATAATGTGTCTTTAATTCCTGGATTTTTCCTCAAAGTACTCAGGATGCACATCTTCTATTATTACTATATCACATTCCTCCAAACACTCCCTATGATATGGAGTACAATCCGGATAATGACTGCAATAGCAACACTCGGCAATGCATGCACAATCACAAAACCAACACATCAGGTAATACGTTTAAGGATATCTCTTCAGCCCTTCTTTCCTCCTCTTGAGGGCACAGTATTTGCGACCATTCACTTCCGAATATATACAGTATGGAAAAACATATTACCATACACAGAACCCACACTGCCCACCCCCCACCATTCAAACATTCAGGTTCCTTTTTACTGTCAGTTTCAGTGAATCTGGATGAGCATGGGCCGTCCAGTGAACAGGTTCAGGTACCAGTCCTTTAACCTGGGTGTGATGAGTCCAGTCTTTCTCCCTTGTTTGAATGGCCACCTCAATTGTTAGGATGACTTGGTAAGGACCTTCCCACACAGGTTGTAACTTCTCCTTCTTCCACCCTTTCACCAGGATCCAATCTCCCGATTTGAACGGATGCACTTGAATATCCAGGGGAGGTGTTTGGGCTAGGAGTCCTTTTGACCTTAAATACAGAAAAGACTTGGACAGTTCTTGCACATATTTTCTCACCACCTTATCTCTTAATTCAATCCTGGGCAGCCCCAATTTCCCTTGGTAGGGTATTCCAAATAGCATTTCATAGGGAGAGATCCCAATGTCCCTCCTAGGTTTAGTTCTTATTCTTAATAAGGCTAGAGGCAGGCACTTGGTCCATGGCAATTTTAGTTCCAACATCAGTTTCTTCAATTGCTGCTTTAGGGTCTGACTCATCCCAGTTCCTTCATCCTTG